TTCTTAATGTCTTAAATTGACAAGTTAACTTGTTCTTTTATAACACTATTCTGTTCTTTTATAACACTATTCGTAATAGTATAATTAATAGAATTGTATCATGGTAACTTATTCTTACTTTTTTGACAGTTATTTATAACAAATATGTTGTAATTAAATCAGTTACATCATTAGATCACACTGAATGAATTAAAGGTCATAAGGCTTGATCAAAGTTTCTTTAGAATAAGAAAACTTGAAAAGTAGATTATGTTTCTACAATAAGAGAAAAATAGAATGATTTGGCAATGAGAAATACTTCTTATAAACTTATAAATGAAAATAAGACATTTTAATAGAAAAGGACAATGTGAGCTACTTTCACTATTAATTTAAGTATTCTTTTATACATTTGGAAAAATGATAATGTTATAATAACTCACCATTAGTATTCACAGGCTTTTAAATTTTTGAATTATTTCCACTTATAACATTCCTATTTAAGAACTTATTTTAAGTTATACTAAATTTGGCTGTTAAGAGCCATACCTGAACTAGCCATTAAAGCTATTGAAATGTTTATTGGTCCATGAATATATAGATTAACGTGGGCACATTAATAGAGGCACATTGGATGGCAAGACTTCATCTTACATACTTTGGACATGTTTTCAGGAGAGACCAGTCCCTGGGGAAGGACATCATGTTTGGTAGAGTAGAGGCGCAGTGAAAAAGTGGAAGGTCCTTGAGATGCATTGACATTGTGGCTGCAACAATGAGCTTAAGCATAGCAACAACTGAGGACTCGCTCAATTGTGAGCCCAGCGCCGGACCAACTGGGCAGTGTGTTGTTCTGTTGTGCATAGGGTCACTATGGGTTGGAACAGACTCAACCGAACCTAACAACAACACAGGCACATTCTATAACTATTTTCAATTGCTTGATGATTCGCTATTGTCATGTGACTTTTTTCTTTCAAATAAGATTTAAACTATTAAATGTTTTATCAAAATAATTCATAGACATCATTTAAAATATGCAAATAAATATGTACAAGCCTATTGGCAGTGTGTTCCCCTCCTCACTCGCTCTTCACTCCAATTCTCACTATCCAGTCAATCGCTTTTAAGTCTTTTTAACGTTTTTTTAAAAATTTATCATCAGTGGCATGATTATGCTGCTAGTATGTTCCTATTTCTTGATATTTCTCTTTTAGACATCATCTATTTACTTTCTGATCTGAACACCTAACACCCAGCCCTCGCATGATTGTACTACCCTTTAGCCTCTGCTTGGAAAGTCTAGTCCCTCTGCTGGGAGTTGAATTCCTTATTTTGTGCAATGACTAACTCTTTGTTGCTTTAAAAACCAAACTCCATGGAGTCCTTTCTGACTCATAGCAACCTTTGACAAGGGAGTAAAGGAACCCTGGGAACCTCGGTGATGAAATGGGTTATGCTCACTGCAAGGTCAACAGTTCAAAACCACTAGTTGTTCTGCCTGAGAAAGAGGATGCTTTCTAGCTCTGTAAAGAGTTACAGCTTCAGAAGCCCACAAATGCAGTTTTACTCTCTTGTTTATATGGAGATAGCAAACTCAACTGTGCAAAAAGTCTTGTTTTCAGCCTTTACCACACTCTTGCCTTTATGACCCCTCCAGTTCCAGGCCTTTCCAAACTTCTGCAGTTCAAATCTGCTTGCTTCTCTTGGGCTGCAATCCCCATGGTTGACAGTTCAAAACCACCAGCAGCTCTATAGGAGAAAAATTAGCTTTTCTATTCCCGTAAACAGTTATAGTCTTGGAAACCCACAGGGGGTCTCTATGAGTCAGCATTGACTCGATGGCAATGAGGGTTTTGTTTTTGTGTTCCCTCTGCTACAGGCACGTAGGGGAGCCAAGTTGAAACCCTGTTCTACTTTCCCACATTTGGGTGACAGCTCTCATCTGTTGCCAGTTGCTCATTCTTCATCCTTATAGATTTATCCCTTTTGGTTTCCTGAATTTTACTTTAGTGGGAGTTAACACATAAAAAATGCATGTGTTTATTCTATCATATCTAATCCAACGTTCCTTGGTTCCATTTCTAGAGATGGTAAAACTGAGACTGAACGTGTTCACGTGATTTACCTAAGGCTACCCAACTACCATGTACTGCATCCGAGCTGAATTAAACTTTTTTTTTTTA